AACACTAACACCTAAACCGTTTACATGCTTTTCTTCAAAATTGATATTCCCAGACCGAGGCTCTGGGAATTTGTAATGCATAATTAGATTTTTAGGGTCATCGTATATCAATCCCCAAGGACATAATCAAATGATTCTCAAAATTGCTCTTAAGTTCAGAATTAACTTTTCCTTTGGAGAGAGGAAGAACTTCATCCAAGGCTTTAAAAAATGACACAGGTCTGATTATTGTTGAACTAACTGCATTTTGGCAGGTGAAAAAAGTTTTTTTCGGCGAAACATATCGAGGAGTATACACGTAACTAATAATATGTGAACCATTACACGAGTGTAATGGTTCACATATTATTAGTTTATACTTTACCCTACATCTGAAAAGTCTGCGAAATGATTATTTAGCACGAATGGAAGTTTTTTTATTTATTCAAGGGATTATCGTTTCCTCTGATGGATTTCCATTTTTGATTAGGTGTCTGCGTTTTGACCAGCTAGCGGGTCTATCTTTCGTTCACCGCGTGAGACACGAAATAACTGGATTCATGATGCGATGTGGGTAACCGCAAGGATGCAATCAGACTTGTGCACATAAGTAGACTCGTACTGGTTCACTCAATGGCAGTGAAGTCGGTTTCTTAGTAACTATTCGAATGAGTCATACACCCAGTCTCACCGGCTTTCATACACTAAGAGAAGCTTCCCTGCCTCATCGAACTTGGAGTCGTCGGTACATACCTCGGCCTTTTTTCTCTATGCGGAAATTCCAACCATGCAACAAGTAGAAACAGTAAAAGTCGTAGACATACACGATTGACGACAACAATCTGAGAAATATCTGATTTTGGTGGAGGTACCCGACTTTCAGGTGTTAGACAAACGCACATGTTGTTAAGTAGCAACACGAGAAAACAAAACTGAAAATTTACAATTTCTTTTTTGTACGCAAGTAAAATTCGGTAATTCTACCAGTCTTCTGATGTAAAGCTTGAGTAAAATAAAAATTGATAGCTCACACTCAAATATATTTAAATGGTTTGAAAAACTCATGTATATTTATGTTTGGCAATTTATGTTTTATTAATTCGTTGATTCACTAATGCATTTCGTATATTTTCCTTTCAACTCGTGTAACGTGTGTAGCTGCCACAGCAATAACAGATGCACGATAGTTCAGCATTTCGAACGGTGTCCAGTAGCTGTAATCAGAGGTTTGAGTGCTTGTATCGGAAACCGCGACGACGAGTCGTTCGCGAGGATCCGGTCGGTGAGTCAACGGCGCCGGGGGGTCGAAGCGCGAACCGCCGTCTGGCCGGCGCCTTCCGCGCCGTCTACCACCTCCACTGCCAACACCACTCTTCTCGTGTCGCTGTACCCAATATTCCAGAGTTAGGGGTGAATTCAGCCGATCATTTTGGAAGGTGACATCAGATTGTTGTTAAAAAATAAACATTTTTTATAATATTGAAAAATATGTTTGTATTGTATATTTGGTATTATACAATATTATTTTTTTAATTAATTACTTGTTATAACATAAATAAATAGTTAAATCAATTTTGCCAAATAATGAAAGGTAACAAACGAAAACTCTAGGCCTTGGGCGGGCAAGGCCCCCATGCCCCCCCTGGATCCGTCACTGACCTGTGAGGTATTTGCAGATTTTGCCTGCGGTTCTGCAAATATTCAGTCAATCAATTATGCCTTATTTTGCGCAGCGAGGCCCATTCCATCAGGCCTGCTCTTCCGCCTGACCATGCAAATTTTGCTACGCGTCAATCTTCATCTAACATAGAAAGAAGGTACCACTCGGGTGATATGAATTCAGCTAAGAGACTTCCTCTAGGCTTTATCTTTTATATGCAGTAAATCTGCAGCATGGGACAGGCGGCTTTACTTCTCCTACGAAGGAAGGCGAAAGAAAGATTTATTTCGCCCTTAAAAATCCAGACCTTCGATAGGATTTGGATCCGCGCATTTGGGTACAGCAGTCGGATACACTGTCACACCACCGAAACCTATATTCGACAATACTAACGGGCTGATTGAACAGTTACATGCTCTGACATTTGCATGATACTTGTTGAATATTTGTTGAAAATTTTATCACTTCTTGGAATTTGCTCCATTCAGCTCCAAAGTACCTGAATTGCGTCGTGGCCTTCTCCGTGTTTCCCTCTCGCCACTGCTGACACAATTTTCATGAAAGTCTCCGTAATTAGCTTGAAACTTGGTAAACGTCGTGGGCCTGTGTGTATTTTCCTTGCAATTTTGTGCTGTGTCACCAACATTAGTCTTATCGTCGCAGTCATTTTCATTGTTTATCGTTGTCATCGATATCATCATCATACAAAATTTTAGTATATTATCACGATCAGTGTACGTCGACGCGTTTCCAGCAAGCACACCATGTCCCGTATCCATCACACACGACGTGTTTGCGTGTCTCACTTCCTCGTTCTTTCATGCATAAGCATGCCGTTAATATTTGGTTCTTAGATATGGAATCTATTTCAGGAATCTGGAACAATTCTGACTTATAGTTGAGGATTTGTGAGAGTGCACTTCAATTGATTTATTTTAACGATTTCATACTTTAAAACTTGCACGTAATACAAAACTTAGAACGCCCAGTACGTAAAACAAAACTTACGTGCGCAACCAAATATGAATTTTAAAACCATGATACGAAGAGAAAATGTGATCTCTGAGTTAGTACATAATACCAAACGATAGAAAATGGAACTGTGACGATTCGTTCATCTACAACAACGGTAGTCTAATGGGAAGGCAGGATCGCGGCGCGAGGCCGGGGAACAAAATGTAAACATAACAAGATATACAGTTACGAAAAAGTGATACAGTTCTCAGTCAATACCTACGGTTGAATTTGTGCATGGTTTGAATTAATTCATTTTTGTATTTGTATTTAGCTATTAATATCCCCCTAAAGGGCAATCGGTCTCGGCGCCGTTAGATCCCGAGGTTCCTAGTCGGTCACCCAACCAGAAACCCGCAATGTCTCGAATTCGTTTAACCTTCGTTACTTCGCGTTGATGACGAATTTGGCTATCGACGCCGTGACTGTGGTCGTGACATTTCAGTACAATCGTCTCATCATTCGCCCGAATGACCGAGGGAAACCACGAAAAACCCGTTCAGGATGGCCAGCACGGGAATTGAACGTGGGCCTCCCGAATGCGAAATCAACGCGCCACACCCTGAGCCACTTCACTCGGGGAATTAATTAGTATCAACTTATAATAAACTTATTATCTTATAAATTGGACTTCTCTCTTGTGGGAAGAAGAAATGAAGAGTTCTTACAAAGAAACACAACGACACATCAGGTAACGTTCGCTTCATCTGGTGAGCTTCCCGTGATCGATTCATTATTTTTATTAACGGCTAATTGCATGTACCCGTTATAGATTGTATATTTTATGAAGGATAAATTTAAACGTAAGTGAAGAAATATTACACATTTGTGCGCCTAAGAGTAAAAAACTACAAAAAAAATTTATTATTCTGTATTACATTTACGTTCCCACAACATTTACTACGAAAAATAAACGACCGAGCGTTTAGTACCAATCCCCGCATTCCTAGCATTCTCCTATGACGTACGCACGAAAACCTACACCTCTCGGCCGCCACCCGGGAGCAGCCCGCAAAAAGGGAAACCCCAGGGCGCAAAGGGCTCCCCCACGTGACCTCGGAGGCCGCGCTCTGGCGGCGGTAGCGATAAATCTGCTCGCGGGTACGCGGCATCTCGGATATGAGATCTTAACACCTGATTGCCGCCCGCGTCCGCGCCGCCGGGTCGTCCTTCTCCCTCTTATCTGCCATCTGCCGCGCGAGCGCGCGCGCACGCCCGCTCGCGCCGCCCTCGCTGCCCTCTCGCGGCCGACACTTGTCACCCACGGCCGCGTTTTTGTCGCCGGCGCCCTCCCAGCTCCCCCCCTCCCCTCCCGGGTCCGCCGGAGATTTGTCACGTTCGCTTGTTTTAACGCAGCGCTGGCCGCCGCGCCGTGACGACCGCCATGTTGCAGCCGCCCGTGCTGCCGCCTGGCGGTGAGCGATCACCCCCGGGCTCGTTTGTTTGTTTATTTGTTTGCTCGGGTAGAGCTTTAGGGAGCGAGGCGGTGGCGATCTTTATCGCGAGACGAACAAATCTCCGTTGAGACGCCGCGCTGTCCGAGTGACGGCGTGAAAGGAGGCGTGGAACGGGGGACACTTTGACACTTTGTGCTCAGCTCGTGAGAAGAAGCGAAGGAAAGGTAACGGCTTGGCAGTTTGATCGATGTGGAAGGTTTGTTTTGCGCCTTCAATATCTAGAATAAGCTGCTATTATCGCGGTCCGTATTTGTTCTTACTGTTTTATTAACGATGTACGTTAATAATCGAGGTAGAATTCAAGATTGACGCCTGATTTGCTTATTAATATGCGAACTATTCAAATTCCACAAACCAAAAGTCACTTCAGAGAAACTGGTCACAAAACTAATCTTACCACACAAAACAGTTGATTTTATTTCTGAAGTACTCCTCCCCTTTTAATTCTAGTGCTCTTTTGTCAAAATCTGGCAGTTCGTGACAATCGTTCTCGTACGAAGACTGAAGGAGAGTGCTGGAAGGTGAGTGGAGTGAATTGTGAAAAGGCGGTCAAGAATGGTAGACATAAAAACACAGAATCAAGGTGAATGCGGGAAGAGAGAAACGGAGGGGAGGCAGTGGCAGGGGCTCGTAGTGGCCGGGGCTCGTAGTGGCCGGGGCTCGTAGTGGCCGGGGCTCGTAGTGGCCGGGGCTCGTAGTGGCAGGGGCTCGTAGTGGCAGGGGCTCGTAGTGGCAGGGGCTCGTAGTGGCCGGGGCTCGTGGCCGGGCTGGATGTGCAGAGGCTCGTGGGGGGTGGGACGCATAGGGAGTTATGCGAGTGAGGGGCAGGACGCATCGGGAGCGTAGTGCGTGTGGAGCGATGCTTTTGGGGGGCGGCACGCGTGGCGCGCATGAAGCGGGCCGCATGGGGGCGAGGCGCGTGCCGCGGGAGGAGGGGTTGGGCGCCCGGCTGTGGAGCGAGCACTTGCGAGGCGAGCGCTGCCAGACGGCGCGTCGCGTCGACGCGTGTGGCGGCGCGCGCCTGTAGCTCGCGCGTGTGGTTAGTGGGCCGCTCGGTGCACGAGCCCCGTACGAGGCCGCCGGGGCAGCGTCGACAGTCGCTTTCACACGTAGGGGACCTTCTGCATTCCTTAATAAATGCGTTCGCTTTTGTATGGAAGGGCCTTGCCAAAAACCGAGAGGGAATCGGCTTATACAAGGAACTTCCACAATACGTTGTAATGTTACTGTAATATTACTACCAGCCCGCTCCGCTGGGGCCAGAAATTTGAATATAAACATAAGTAACCGTTCCAAAATGGTCAAGTGTTAAAACCAGACAACTCTGGTTAAAACGTTAGTAAGAGTTCGTTTTGTGCCATTCGTTTTTCAATATGATTTTACGTACAATTTTTTAAATTAGATTCAGATTATGAGTAATCGTTGAAAGATAAAGCTCCAAACCCAATAAGTAAAGTAAACTTGAAACGAATGTGTTTAATCATTGTGTCTTCGAAATGTATGTTTCAAGAGGATCTCATTTAACCATTTTTCATTACTTTGTCTTTAATCTTCTCCAAATATTGACTTTGAACACAAAAATCCCTTTTGGCACAGTCAGGACGACCTCACGATTTTCATACACTATTTATCTATGATTATCACCGCAAATTGATAGCCAATGATCAAAGGCATGTGATATAGTCCTAAAATGAGCCGTGATCCAAATAAAACGTTATTAAAATAGAACAGTTGAGGACGAATTCACCATCAAACACCACCCGTTTGGTTTTATATGTTCTTGCATATTAATATCAATCATAAATTAATCTAATTACATAAAACTACTCTGAAATAGGTCAATAAAGACTCAATTATATTTCCGCTCTGATTATATATTTAATTAAAGGTGATAAAAGAGAATGTACTTTCTCGCCCGTATTTTCTTTCAAAATTATTTCAGAATTTTTCGAATAATGGTACATGACTTCATTTCAAAATTTATTTTAAGTAACAGATTTCATTAAGGGAAAAATCTCTATCTTCAATATTTTAGTTGTACGAAGACGTCAAAAAATTTGAACTTTTGCAATTTTTGAAAAATTGGCCTTTTTTAACGAGCAGCAGCATTCTCTTGATCGTCCTTTCAAGGGAAGCGACATCAGCCAGATCGGTTGGGAAATAACAGTTTTGGAGAAATTCGGCCGAACGGTTTATCCGCTAGCGTTCTTCACGGCCGGCCGGATATTTTGCCATCAATAGATTTTTTTCGCTATCAAGGGCCAGCAAAACATGGATACTGTCTATGACATATGTTGGAGGATTTTTTTCTAAATTTATCATCTGCATTTATCCAGTTCGTCATTACCAGGGCCCTGTAATAAAAGATTTCTGTCGAAAATTATCAATTTTTCGCGCAGCATAACATAACTATTTTATGTGTAATGGGTAAACTATAAAACGTAAGTCGTTGATAATGTTATCAAAATTTGATTGGAAAATATAGTGAATTCAACCGTTGGTTAAAATATTTTATAATCGCAAATATTTGATTAATTGGAAGAATGGGAAAAAAATCCAACTTCTTTATTCTTTACGTTAGTATAACGAAGATCTATTTCGCCTTCCCACCACATGCACTAACATTTGTACGAAGTGGACTATACTTGAAGTCAGCAGAACTGTCCGCGCGCCGGCTCCAGATGTTCAACACGAGTTACAACTTCCGAAACTCGGAACCCAAATATTGCGTCACGCGGCGCGGAGCGGAGGCGGGCGCTAGTCACGGCCGAGGGCTGGCCTCTAGCTTTAACGACCGCGTAAACTACGGAACAGCCGCGCTGCGCTGATGCCCGAGGTGCAGTGGTCCAAGCGGGGCCGAATTGAGACTTTCTGGGGGGCCTCCGCGGCCACGTAGCGCAACATCTGAGGAGACGAAGGTTGTTGGGCCGAGTCTCATCGTGCCCCTGCCTGGGGGTATTGCATTCTGTTGCGGTTGACTCCTCGCACCGTCACGCGTCCCAGCTGGGCCATCATATTTCATGATTGACTGCAAGACAAATCTCTACTGCAATCACCAGTTCAGGGAGAGCGAATACGCCTCATATATCGCTTTTCGAGGAAATTTATCTATTTATCTATCTACCTACCTATCTCTCTCTATCTACCTACCTATCTCTATCTACCTACCTGTCTCTCTCTATCTACCTACCTATCTCTCTCTATCTACCTACCTATCTCTCTCTATCTACCTACCTATCTCTCTATCTACCTACCTACCTACCTACCTACCTATCTGCTACCAGAGCTCTTACATAACACGCGAAGAAATTATAAATAATGCAAAAATAATGTGTCTGAAAGCATGATGAAACGAAAATAATAACTTTCAAATCTAATTATACTTACGTTGCTTTTAAACCTTTCATATACTACTTCTATATTACAAGGTGAAACATCACTCTTAATACGTCGACTTTTCTGTATGTAACCTACCAGATACATTTTAAAAAACATATTATATTTTAGTTCATATTTTTTGCTTTTCTACTTCTTGTTATCTGTACTCATTTGAGCTGTAGCCGAGGTTTCTAAGCTGTAGCTCCTGTAAATCGATATGTGTCGGGTTAGCAGTGCTAACGTATAAAAATTTGGAGAACATCTCTCTCCTTTACTTCGTCAATTCAAAAAATCACACTATCATGTCTTAATGATACTGAGATGTTTCAAAACATTTCAGTAGTACTGTTATTATGCAAAGCACGATTTATTTTATGTTGTCATCTTCTGCAACTCGGACGTCAGTTAGTAGAAAGCAGAAGAAATAAAATTCCAAGAATGCAATAAAATATTCAATAGACAAAATATTATTAAATGACACATACCCTACAACTACACGCTATTGGCTGTACAAGAATAATTTGTTGTACACATGAACAGAATTAGTCAGTGACAGAATTAATTATGCAGTTACAGTAGTTACGCAGAAGTAGTCACGCAGTTCCAAATGCCAGCGACTGAAAATTCTAGGTATTGAGAAACTACTGTTTTAAAATTATAATAGCTCTGAAAATGTCTGTTTACATCACTTCAATGAGTAATGTATGGCATATAACAGTTCAAAGTAATATATTTCTAATTCAAGTGATTTCACTGACATTTTCGAAGCTATACTAAACGTTAAAACAGTTATACGTCAAAAGTTATAATTTTGAATTGTTACCTATTAGAACTGGGCCATCGATAGAGATAGAGAAGTAAAATTTTATAATTTGTAGTTAAGGTACGCGGTATCGTTATTCAATTAACCTGCAATCGCAATATCATCCTGTGTTGGTCTAATACCCGAAGCACCAAATCTCGGTCGATACGTGGGGCGTCTTACGTTTAGCCGGGCGCAACGAAAGCAGCCCGCAGCGGCCGCGCATAACATGGCGCACGATCATGCGCAGGGGCGTAATTATGAAGAGCCCTCGATTAGCATGCGGCGGCGCGCAAACACGGCCGCGAGCGTCGCGACGCCGAGCGCCGTCCGCGCGGAGTGTGTGCGCTGCTCTCCAAGGCGTCCCCCAGGGACCGGCCCTCGGGCGCAGCGCATCGCAGCGCATCGCATCGCATCGCATCGCATCGCATCGCATCGCATCGCATCGCATCGCATCGCATCGCATCGTGTCGAGACGCGTTGATCGCCACCACATCGCCGCATCGTGGTCCGAGTCGGGGCAAAACGTGAATGTAGATAAAGTAATCAATTTCCGGGAAATCTGTTCGTATTTGTTAATAAATGCCTGCTCTAAAATCTTCACAAAACGAGAAATTTAAGTGTACTTTTTTTTATAAAATTACTATAAATAATGATTTAACTGGGCAATCATTATAAGTAGCTATGGGGTCGCGACGACGATTGACATTTGCGAAGCTGGAAACATATTGCCACGTAATGGTTGAGCTAACGACTGTGACCAGGTAGTGAAACATGTAAATTTTAATCTCAGTTAGATGAATGAATGTTTCTGGCACCATTTTGCAGAGAAACGCTTCGTAACTGCACAGAAGTTTCTTGAGTACTTCGCTTCTTCTTTAACGCTCATACGATTTTTCTTAAAGTGGTTGAAGTGACAAACATAATTTTTAAGTGAAACCGAATAAAATATTGTATGATAATATTTAAAAAAGTTAGTAATTTAAGAAAATTAGTTTAATCAGTTTTACAATTATTTTATCTCTCCAAAATATTTCTAGTTTCTTCTGTAAAAAAACAAGGGTTGCGAAATTCATTTACAGATTCAAGTTTCACACTTACATTTAGACAAGGCATTCAAGTTGTACACGAACAAATTTCATTTCCACAGTTATGTTATTAGTTTTCCTTGAAGTGATTTTGAATCATGAGTCTGCTTCGGGTTAATTTTCAAGAGATGATATAAGCAGAGTGACTTCATTCACTTACAACTAGAGTCCTGCGACTGCAGTTTGATCACGCAACCAATTTCAAAAACCTCGGGTCTTCTGTCACTTCGTGACCATGTAACACGATGCCAACCTTCAACTACTTTTGAAGGAGACTTGCAGCAAAATGAGCATCGTTCAATTATCTCAAGCTTGCTCCCTGTATACGCATCTCATTAAAGCTTCGTCTTCTGTTCGCAGGAACTCGTCAGGCTTGCGAAAATGAAGGCGAGGTGGTGCCACCGCACCTCATCAACATCCAGGACATCAATTGCTTCACCTGCATGTGTCAGGTGAGTGGCAACAAGAAATCCCTTTGCAGGCGGGCACGATTGATCCGGCGGCCCATTACAGTAATGATGGAAAGGCAATCGCCTATTTATAACGCCAGGTGCGCCGCCGCTAATGGACGTTACCTGCAGAGGTACCTGCGTCTTTCATGTCAGGACGTGTCATCTCGTTATCGCGCCTGCTGCAAAAACGCCTTCCGGGGAATTTCGGTGATTTGGAACGCTAATGCAGCGGATGTGAATGTCACTCATTGTTGGTGTGGATGTTGCATGTTTTTGTGTTTCTTTGACGTCAATGCTAATTACGAAAGTAATATGGATTTAGGTGACCCTCGTGTAGCGAGGACTCGTTGGTTTGCTGACAATGGTTTAACTCGATGGTTTGTAAGGTGGTTGTTTAAAATGTCGGGTCGCCGACTTGGCCGGTTTATTGGTAGTATGTTCGGAGAGAGAATGTGGACGTGGTTGGAAGAGGAAGTAAGAAATCGCTACGGAGATTGGTTAGGTGCGTGGATTGGGGAGTGGATTGGAGAATGGATAGGCGAATGGTTAGGTGATTCCCTTGGTTTAAGCTTAACAAACACTCAAATAAGTGAAATTACATCCGATTCCTGCTACCTACCCGTTTATCATTCTCCGACAAATATGTATGTGCTTGTATAAGAAATGAAGTAGAGTCAAAACTTTGGGTTTCCGAGAGGAAATACCATGCAATTTGATGAAATGTTTATCAGGAGACGGATTGTTTAAATGTAAATTAAGTTATTTAACCCACATCCTCTCGTTTCAATGTAACCAAGGAAAATGTTATCATTGTTATTTCATCATCATGAGTTCATATAATAATTTCGCAATTTTCTTTGTTTCTGAAAAGAAAAATTAAAACTTTGATTACAACAGTAATAATTATCGATGTATATCAATAAATTGCAAAATATAAATTAATAAATGGGAATTACGTAATTTTCATAAATTTCGGACATGTTTTAATTGGCTGCTTTATAACTATATTTACCTTATTACATCTACATAATTTTTTTAATTAACTTTTTATGAATCATTTTCTAGAATTCGTGTTGTACTAAGAATGTGTACTGTTAATATCAAATAAATAAATCAGTTAATTGAAATCCAACATTGTTTTTCAAAATTATCACAGTGCATACTCGGACAGAATATTTATTATTGATAAATATAGTTAACACAATAATTCTATGCGGCTTGACAAACGAAATAATTCCGAGAATGAGGAAAAGAAAATCAATCATAATGAATTGATTATAAATACTAAGAGTATACTAGAAGAAATAGAAGTATTGACTCCTACTATTCAACATCGAAACAGAATCTAAGCGATCTCTTGCATTAGAATGGGTAGTTATACTTTGTAAGTTCTAGAACTATTAAATAAGAATATTTACAATAAATGCATTCATGTGTGTTTATGATCGTGCCAAAGTGTAAAGGATATGAGAAAGTGTATACAAAAAAGATTGGCATGAAGAATGTGCTAGATAAGATTGCTTCAAAAATTAAATATCAGTTCATTCAAAATATAAACTTCAATTTTACAAAAACACTAATTTTAGAGCTTTACAGAGAAACAAATATGGAGATCAGCCTAAAGTAACATAAAATATGTACTGCTGCCTTTTCTTGTTAATAAATGAAGTTAGAAATAAAAAATTATGGAAGTTTATTTGACAATAGGCATAACGAACCCAGTCACAGCTGAAGTCGGGATGATGATACTCAAACTCTAAGTATGTATATAGAATACAGTGCTTTCGTTCAAGCATTAACGAAACACAAAAGAAATCTTTTTTTTAATCTTCGTTAAAATCTTCAGAAGTCAGCGATAGTACAGCAGGCGGAGTGTAAAACGCGAAAGAACTGATAAGAAATTGTCTACCTTTTACTGGTCTACTGAATTATGCAAGAGACACCACATACTGAGAACGTCATCTGAATCATACAGTAGGTCGGGAAGTCAGCCAAGAAGGCGCTTCATGTTTTCCAGCAAGTGCATCTACCCTTGTAATCATCTAATATATAAAAAAACAATGTTCCTTTCTTTTTTTGTTCCTAATACGCTGCCGTTCATTCGATTACGATAAAACTTGGCCAACTTATTGCTTGCACTTGTGGGAAGAATATAAACATAGTACAATGGGAATGTACATATGGCTGCGCACATAGACGAGCGTTGATGACTTTATGCCGACTCAAGCGCTCCTGAACAGGGCGCTCTACACAACCCACCGAGAAGAATGTTCGATATCAGCTAAATACCTGGACTAATACCCGGATAAGAACACCATAGATCGTCTGATGTGATTAGTGCTTTCTGAGATTTCTTCCTATCTTTCCCAGTCATGCTGGAGAAGTATAAGTTAATTAAAGTGACGAAAACAGCAAGTCGTACTTCTTATCTCATTAATAAATCCAGCCCTGAATTTAAAAATAAATTTGAAGTCTCCTACTTAGTTGACGAAATTAGGAAATAAACGTAGTTTTCTAGGGTTTAAAAAAAAGCTGGTACAGATTTCATTATGTAGATATGAATATTTTTGTCATTCAAGAAACGTAAGTGTAATGTTTTTAAAAGTAATAAGAAGAAAAAATTAATTTCACAACATTAACAATTACTTAGAAATGTAGATCTCCCATTCACATGAATGACCATCCCGCTTCTTCAAAATCTCTCATGTTCGTAGGTCGTATACACAATAATAGACAAAGAATAAAATATTATACTGAACACTAAACATATTTCTTTCCATAATATGTGTTTGAATCACGTGAGCTGAATATCTCGTATAACATTTTGTCCCACTTTTTGCTTCTTTGAATCCCCAATGCAGTGGCTGCAGCGGAGGTCATCGAAGCGAAGACTCAGTAGCCCCTGTGGAGAGAGAACCACGTGCTCTCGACCCCACTGAGGACATTTCAGTTTCAAACGTTCATTTACGCGTAATCTTGGGGTCCAGAATGTGATTGGAAAATGAACATTATTCAATAACACATCTTAGAGAGGTTCCCCTTATCGAACACCACGTGTATAAACGATGTAAAGGGAAGGAAATCAGTTTGCTAAATCAAAGCATTCGTGTTACTGAGGTTGCAGATATTAACTTTCCTTTGCAAAAGATTTTGAAAATTGATATGAAAAACGAAACACCTCCAGCCAATGTTACAAATTGTATCTAAAAAATTCTTCTATCACTAAAAAACTAATATCGAATTCTGAACAAAAGATCAAAAGTAATCAAGTCAAATGGGCCAAGCAAATACGAGGCAAGTGATAACCTCATAGATATATTCCTACTCATTGAGAAAATTATTTGTGTCAAAGTTAGTCGTGAGCTAGCAAGACACTTAAGATGCTCATTGTTTTGAGAAGAAGTTGTACCCAAGTTGGCGGGTTCAAACCCGATCGAAGCCGTGGATTTTTAAGGGCGAAAAAATCCTTCATACGCCTTCCTTCGGAGGGGAAGTAAAGCCGGCTGTCCCATGTTCGTAGATTTACTTGCATGTAAAAGATCCTCAAGCCTAAATGACGCCTCTGAGCTAAATTCAAATCGATTGTTTCTCGCCCAAGAAATACCTTCTTTCTCTGCTATATGAAAGGAGCGTAGCGAAATTTGCGTGGTCAGACGGAAGAGCGGGCCTGATGGCCCGAGTCTCGCCACGTAAAATAAGGCATATTCAATTCAATTCAATTCAATTCAAGTTTAACGATTTTGGGGCTGCTTCTGCTTCAGATTTTATCCACTCTTCCAAGTCATTCGAAACAGGTTTCATTTCTTGAAACATCTTATTACTACACCGATTAGCCTTAAACTACATCTTGCTACTCCTAAAGTATTCACTAATTTCTGTGAATCATGTGTTTGAAATGGTATGCAAGTGAAAAGCTATATACACGTACTTCATGGTTACTTATTTCAAACGAAACCTGCATCTTTTGTAAGCATTTTTTTCCAATTAAATATATAACATTTCTCTTGAACATTAATTTCCAGAGAGTAAGATTTTTTATTTTACATTTGCGTTATTTGTTTTGTGGCGTGTGATTCACATATTCAAGCCGTTCCTCTCCGAGGCCAAACTGCGTGTTATTAACTTACTAAGAGCAATGTACCTTTTCATCAATATATCGACACGGCCGAGAATTTGTACACCCCTCCCGACAAGGCCGGGTTTCTCATGGAGCCATTAGCTTTCTGCTTTATCGCCCCTCCCTCTCCCTCTCTCTCTCTCCCTCCGTCTGCCGACGCCCCGCGTCTTCTCTTTCTCGCTCGTCCTCAAGGCCGCGAGCGGGCACTTTATTTCTTCTGCTCTGACATTTCTCCTGATTTCACACATAGATTACTCGTAAAACGGCCGGACAAGTTGCGTAGAGTTAAAATACTCGGTAATTTTGTTGTAGCTATAAATTGTGAACGTGTTTAACGTTTTTTATGCAGTTAAAATCTTCATCACCTAGCGTTTCCGTCTTTACACGCTTATGAAGTAACTTAATGCTGCTTGCGTTACCTGTCCTTTGCTGCTTTTTTTCGGCAAAGTTTTTGCGTTCGTTTTGCATAAACGCGCCGACCGGGGGCGCCAATGCGACTGGTCGGATTTCACAGACATTCGTGCTCCTCGTCTTAAGTTTCGTCACTAGCTTCCAGTGCGTGGGTTCCACTCAATTGCTTCTGTAACGGTTTTCTGCAGCGCCCAGTCTCTGGAAGAATTCAGTTATAAACATTATTCGTTTTAAAAAAAATTGTTAATTCCTCCTGATGTTGGTGAATACATCTCCAAGATTTGGCCACCTGAATATCTGCACAGGACCTACTAATGTTCAAACTTTCTTACCCGTTTCCCTCGTACTCTTGTAGATTTGTAGTCTTCTCTTTCATAATGAGCTGAATATCACGGTCGTCAGAATACGTACCTACAATAAAGAAAGGTTGAAGATCCTATAAAGCAATAATCGTGATTCTCTAACATTTCAGTTGATTTTGACTGACAAGGTATTTTTAATCCTTTTATGTTTAAATTAATTTTACTTTTTTGATGCTATCAAAGTTTAAAGTTCACACATTATGCTTTGCAACAAACCAGATCAAATTAAAACACCTGACCATTGGCTAAGCTAATTTTAGTGTCAAGTTGTTATTGCACAGAAGTACTGAAGTTGTAAAAAACTTTGGGGGATATTTTATTTTAAATTTTTCACACCAAACACAGGGCAATTGTTCTACCGAGATAGAGCAACAAGATAACTGACAACTCACAGGATCACTAGCAAGAGAGATACTTTCATTTCTCATTCACTACATTACTTCGTACTAGTCTCAATGCTGAATTGTATCATGAATAATGGTGATAGCAACAACGTGTTGTCACACATTCTACAACTTCCGAGACCTAGTAACAGTGAAGTCTTTTCTCCGTAAATGGCCATCCTTTCAGCATAACTTAACCTTCTCTTAGGTCAACATAAGTTAACCTTATCGGTATTGAAATCGTGACGAAGATACGTTCGAAGGTAAGTGAAGTTGTTGTGAAACTGCGAAAGTGCACGCAGTACACAACTGTTAATCTAGCAAACAATTGCTAACCAATCATTTCATAATCTGCTAAGTGCACGAGCTTAAATTCCTTTCCGAGTTTCTCTTAAGGAAACCTGTACAGAATTCATTCAAGATTTTCATTTTGTTCACTTCAAACTGTTTTTGATTTTCGGCATTCGTAGAATCATCATTGTCTAAGAACGTCCGATGTTTTCTAAACGATTGACCAGTCTCAATAGATCTCTTCCCGCGTTGAACTTTTAGGGGATTCAATCATTAAAAATCCATCTTTGGCAAGCATTTGAGCTACTAAAATTGATTTAAGACCCCAAGAACATGATATTTACCATCCAGTACTCTACTGCTGGAAAAGAAATGCTAATAATAAGGTACACCACTTATTCATTTATTTGAATTTATTTCGCTAAAAATGTAAGAATAAAACGCGAAATAATTAGGTTCGATTCCGGTTGAAGCAGTTAATTATTTGTAAAATATTCTCCAGTAATTGTAGAACTTGGAATTGTGATTGGGTGCTAAAATGCGTAATATAAAAATAATGATAATAATAACAATAATAATAATAACAATAATAATAACAATTATAAATGAAAGTACGAAAACGCCATGTTGGAGTGCAAGTGCATGCTGGTTTTGCCGCGCCTCGTCTGGAAGGAAAATGACTAAAAACATTGACTCAGCCGCCTGTTTCCGAGGCTCCGCCCGACGACGCGGCGGAGGTGGCGGCTGCGATGGCGATGGCGATGGTGATGTCGGCGGCTGTGGCGCCCGCGGCCATCGTTAGACGCCCAGCTGATGGCGACTTCCTCGTCTGCCCGCCACCGCCACCGCCACCGCTGCTGCCCCGCCAATGGCGCTGAAGTTCCTTCGCCCGGTTCGCTACCACGCGGAGACTTCGGTGCCCCCACAATGCAAGATGTTACAAAATGAAAATATAGAACTGGGTACGAGTGCATCGACTTGTGAGAGTGAACAATTGAGTAATGTAATGCGTTGATGTGAATGCAATTTCGTTTTGGGACAGGCTGGCTTGAGAAATGGACGCTTGACGATTAAGACTTGATTTTAAAGTGAAATACTTGTTTAAGTACTCAAGTAGTGGCGTCTTAAAGTTTTTAGAAGATTGGAGAAACCTTGAGTAAGGTATTAGATATAATTAATCGATGGTTCAATAATACGAAACAGAATATTCGTAGAAGCGGAACAGGTAACAGTATGCCAATCCATTAGCCATCCACAACCTAAGAACATTATTTTCATTTTGTTGGAAATTTTTAATGTTCTTATTTAAAAATACCTCAAAAATAAGGAGAACAGTCACGTGGGGGAAAGTGGAAAGCAGTGCCAGAATGTTTTGGAAATTCTCACGATCGCGGGCGCCTATGGGAGCAGACACTGTTGCGGGGCGGAAGTTTATTAGCTACAAGATCTACATGTGGTATTCTGATGTGCCTTGAACTGAGTACAATACTCATATCTGAGTGAAGACGAGGGAGGCGGCCTAATCCTAGATCCACTCCTGGCAGGTGCTCACGGTAGTATTTTGTAGCCTTCCCCTGCTTGAAGGATGGGCAGAGTGATCGGGGGGGGAAGATAAATGGACGATTGTGGATGCGAAACGTGGATTATATGAGACGTAACAACGACATATCCATAGTATGAAAACTGTCATGTTTTAAGGCCATTTTACATGGTCATTTTTTCATAATTTTTCGTCGGTACAGAAAAACGACTGACCAGGCTGAATGTAATATGTACAAAAAAAATGGCGCATGCTTCATTTTTCGGTACAGATTTCGTCCAGTTTGACGAACGCACCTCTGGCGCCACTTTATGAAACTTTCTCTGGTGTGTTATGCCATGATGTTTCCTTTTTTACTATTTCATGAGTATTCTATTGAGTTGAACTGTGATGTTAAGTGATTATATAGTGAGAAATGAAACATGTACTGTGTTCTAATGTCGCGTTCCGTGCTCGTCCTAATGTAACCTAACTTAATTTGTTACCATAGTTGCTGTGATCAACCGTTTGATTTTCTGCGCTTTTTGTGGCATCGATAGGAAGTATTTTCATCGTAATTGCGAGCATAAAACAAAATGACCGTGTAAAATGTTCGTTCTCGTTCACCCAGATTCAATACCGAAACGTAGCGCGTAAAAATGAACGACCCATTCCATCCATTTTCTATACAGAAAAATGAAAAAACGTCAGGTAAAACGAGCTTTACGTGAGACTCTAACACACAGCCTTTTAAGGCGGTGGCGAGTGTAATGGTTAGAGTATCGGACTGTTATACGTAAGTAGGCGGGTTCAAATCGATCGATGCCGTGAATTTCTTAGGGGCGAAAAAATTCTTCGTCTCTCTTCGGAGGGTAAGTAAAGCCGGCTTTCCCGTGTTAGTAGATTTACTTGCATGAAAAAGATCCTCAATCCTAAATGACGCCTCTGAACTAAATTCAAATCGCCTGTTTTGTCGCCCAAGAAATACCTCCTTTCTCCCCCAGTTGGTGGAAGGAGCGTAGCAAAATTTGCGTGGACAGACGAAAGAGCTGGCCTGCTGGCCCGAGTCTCGACACGTAAAATAAGGCTTCAATTCGATTCAATTCCATACTATTTGAACGCTATTTAAACTATTAAAAATCAAACGTTTCTTGTTACATTGCATTTCTTTCACTTATTAAAAATGTATTAAGTTCAATACGTTTTTTACCGGCAATGCCTTCTTTAATCCAAGGGATACCAACAGTGGATAACATTATGTTAAGCTCTCTTGTGACATTTCGTTGTCCCATATTCACCGTGTTTTAAATGCCCTTAAGATCGTAATTTTCATTCGAGGTGCGTGATATAACACTATATCATCAAGAGCAGCTCTTTACGACATCAGAAATTATTAGAAATTGCTGATTGTATAGAGTTCTAAAAACACCAACAAGCAATTTCGGAAAGGAGAGTAAAGTTTAATTATAGATAATTGTACCATTGCTGACAACTCGACACAACTGCTCTAGGGAGGAATTTAGCTTTATCTGAAGTAAAGAGCGTTAAAAAAATCTGCCTCAACACTACATTGATAGCTTCAGTTAATCAGTGAGTACAGGATTTCGTGTAAAACTATGCCAAGAACAGGTATGTTCATTAATCTGAACGTTCGTATAGTGCGACACTAAATCATTACAGAGCAAAAATCCTTCGCATGTTGTCCTAACATTTCTAGGATAACTCTGTTTACACTCGATTATGTGCACCAAATCGAATGTTCAAACAATATCAAGAAATGAAACATCCTAGAGAGAGGTACACACTGATAATTCTTTTTCATCTTATTTTTAAACTAACTATCCATTTTATCGCCATTCTGTTTTGACAACAGAACCAAAACATAGATTACGAATAGACGACAATTTAAGTCAGGAGTGTTTTTGCTTATCTACGGAACACAATTAAATACATTCTCTGAAATGCGTACATAAATGAGAGGGATAATTTCACCACGTTATATCATAACCTACTTTTGCTTTGCTTTTGCCCTTTTATTGTCTCCCCTCATCTTTTGTGCCTTACAAAAGAAGAAGTTGACAGCTTTTAATTACAACGAGTGGAGGTTGTGGTGTGTGGGAGGTGACTTCGACACTTGATTTCAACCACGACCCCCCTATTAATTGAATAAATTATTGTTGGGGTTGCTGCTAAGAGATTTCATCTGTTAACCCATCGGTATTATTCATCCATGAAAGGTATTATGTTTCCGTTTTGAAGCAAATAGTTATTTCTCTAATACTTGCTTTTGACCTTCAGTATTGTTCACTGTAGATAACATCTCGGTCAAATTCTCTGGTAATGTAGTGTGTAATATAATGCGGCTTTGGAATACAGATTAACAGTCTGATATGACAATACTGTAGAGAATGTTCTTTAGCTAGTATTCTCCTTCAGTAACTTGCCTGTTGTTACTTCATGCATGATCATGAATTAGAATGAGGTATGTTCTGACCACGTATCAAACTCCCCAAGGTTTCACATTTGTGTCTGCGTCACTTCCACTTGCGTTTTACAAGTCACGGAAAGATATTGTGTTCTTCTTATACTCCCTTTTGCCCTGACAAGTGGTTCTGATAGTCACACAAAAAATATCGAAGATAATGTATCAGAATCGAAGTTATTGGAATTACGACGAGAATAAGCTTAAATTCATCAATATTACTAACAATACAATGTACTTGTACACAATTTTCAAGGATATAGAGTTCTTTTAATATTCATTTTCTGAAAGTAGTCAATGACTATCAATAATTATGCTAATTTATTTGTTACATTTTTACCTTGAAGTTATAGTTTACAATTAATTAATAAATAAATATATACCTTTCTGGACATGGCATAAAGGTGAAGCAATGTCATCCTAAGTCTCTTTTTCTTAATAGTGTCTAAAGCAATATTTTTCTCTCCTACTGATACATTTTCCTTTTCTCATTATTATAATTCTAATCATAGCAGTTAATTTTGTCGATAGTTTTTAGACCCGCCTAGAAGCCGTATACCCGGAAAGTGTTGAGGGAACTAAATGATCAAAGCTAACCAAATTTTATTTTATTTTATTTATTTTGTCAAAGAACAGAAAAATGCTAGTAAACAAGAACAGTGTTTACCTTCCATACTTAATTCACCTGTTTCAACTACACTACGTCTCCCTCTTTCAAGGAAAGGCATTAGTTTCCACCACAGTGTCTTTCTCCTCTGTCAATCTCACTCCTCTATTGCCTCCGTCCCAGACCACTGTTTCATTGTGCTTTCCACTATCTACCTGTTCCACATACACCATCTATCCGTTCTATGTACACAATCTATCCGCTCTATATACACCATCTATCCGTTCTGTATACACCATCTATCCGTTCTATATTCACCATCTATCCGTTCTGTATACACCATCTATCCCTTCTATATTCACCATCTATCCCTTCTATATTCACCATCTATCCCTTCTATATTCACAATCCATCCCTTCTATATTCACCATCTATCCCTCTATATTCACAACCCATCCCTTCTATATTCACCATCTATCCCTTCTATATTCACAACCCATCCCTACTATATGCACCATATCTCCCTTCTACGAGTTTATCCACGATCTATCTGTTGTATGTTCTTCATTTATCCCTTCTATATTATCTCCGCTTCGTTCCTCACACCTAACTGCATGGCCTGCGGCGTCTCCACCGCCACCGCCGCTGCCGCCTCGTCTCCCGTCGCCCGTCTCCCTGTCGCTGTCGCCGCCGCCTCGCCCGCCTCTGTTGCTGGGCGGCGCTGTTGCTATGCCGGTTCTCCCTGGAGCGAGCGGCCGCACGAGGCAGACAGCCCAGCGCACAGGTCTGTCCCCTTCGGAGTGTGTGGACGTCGCGGTGTTGGTGTTATCTGACGAGGAAAAGGAGAGACTGCGGTCCTACCGCGCACAAAAAAATCCGACGCTGAATTTCACGGTATTTTCTCCACTAGCGGCTACATTGATCGGACCCTTATTGTCCTCAAATACCATTTTAAATTTTAACGGAATGATAGTTAAAAAAATATTAAACATTGTGTCAAGGTCTGAATTTATTGTCAAAATTACATGATTGTAAATGTAGTGAAATACAACAATAAATGTTACCAAAAGATAGGTTTGTTTTAACGCCTTTTTGCTTGTTCTTTTACTGAAGCTTCAAGAAATCCCTTATACATTTTCTTTAATTTACTTCCTAAACACCTCTTTCTTTTAAGCACGCTCATATTTTATGTTCTCAGAGCTCTAACCTGCAATTACGGATTTGAATTGCGTAAACCACGTAATCTTCATACCTGATTCCAACTACGTGGAAGCCTTAACTTCCAAGAAACAATTATTGGAAGAACAAAACAAAATTTCTGTCGGATACTGTTTTTGTTATTTTCCACAATTTCGCCGGGGGAATAATCACAACTGCTTACACCTATCAGGGAAAGTTCCAGATTTTAAGACAGCGATGGAAACGGTAAAAAGGAACCAATAGCAATCATAGATAGTTGGGTGTGAATGTACCTCCAGATACACGAGTGTTTTACACGAGTGTTTTTTTCTTGCTAAAATCCCGGAAAGGCATATAATTGAAGTCTCGCTGCATCTTGATTCGCATGTGTACTACTCTGTTGCCAGGAGGAGAGTTCTTTCGAGTGCTTCTGGGAATGACGATCTGCAAGTGCCAACTACATTTCCGAGAAACCTAACGTATGGTTGTTGCGACGCAGGCCTAAACACATTCCTGCTTTATAGCAATTTTTTGGCCATATTGGGCGCATTTGCATCATCAAAAGTTTTTCCGTGAGAGAGCTGGCATTTAATAAAGATTCTTGAAAGAATAATGCACTGAAATTATTAGGTTCATATTTTCAAATATTGTTCATCAAATCACTTTAGAGAGCTGAAGCTCAGATCCGTAAAATATTAACACTGTTATGCTTCGAGAAAAATTTGGCAAGTAGTGATCTCACACGTTCCACGACATGTTCTACAAATATTCAAGATTTAAAAAAAGTTAATCTTCTGATCTTCATAATTCTGTACAATTTGAATGATTAGTAAAACTGTAAGGATATCAAGTTGTAACATGTCAAGTTCTTTTTTTTTGTGTCTGGCTTATGAGTATGCTCTTTTACCTTATTTACATAAAAAGCATTTATGAAAAATAACGTAAAAACTTAAATTCTCTAAACGTCAGAAAAAATGACTCCACTCTATCGATATGTGAGGGGAGGAGAGCGAATGGGAGAGAAAAAGAGGTAGAAAAAGTGGGAGACAATTATGCGGGAAATGGGAAGTGAAAGAGAGAGGGAGAGAGAGAGGGGGGAGAAAGAGAGAGAAAGATGGAGAAGCGAGCGGAGAAGGAACATTACCTTGCTTCATTTGCCACATAGGTCACGGTGAAACTGCATTCGGCTTAACAAATAATGTAAAACTCACTGATTTGTTCCACTACCAAGCATCCGACGCGTTATATAGCTAATAATAAATGCATTTCTATCAATTTTTGTATTTGAATTTCAGAACAATTTATGCTCTCTCCAATCGTTTTTCCTTGGTGCCGTCAAACAACACTTAAGAAACGTTTACTTTCTAAACATAACGCACAACAACAATAAAACAATAAATAAATTAAAAAAAACATCGGACAGTTCATCAATAGTTTCCGTTGCTCGCGACTGCCTTCGTTACAGGGATTCGCCTGTTGAGTGCGTAACCCGAAAGCCCGAGAGCTCGCAGCAGTGCGGTCTGGCTTGACGCGGGGTCCTGGGTTCGTCAACCGCTCAGAAGCAGAGCTCAGCGTCAGCGGAATGCAGCGTCTGCAGCGCGTCGCTCTCGCCTGCTCCGCAGCAGGGGCCGCGTCCGGCCGCCTGCTCCGTCCCCGCTGAGTGTCCAGGGTACCTGCACAGGTCGGGGGGCGGGCACTTTTTGAGAAACGGAGAGATCCAGGAAAAGTTACGAAATGTCTTTGATCTGGAAACGACCCATATTTATAAAACTGGATATTATTCCTTAATGAAACATTATAACAGGGGTTTTGACACTTTTTAAAAAACATTTCAGACAATGTGCCTTTTTGGCTTTTTCGAAGAGCAGACATATTGGTGGCAAGTACCTAAGACTGGTTTTGTCTGTAAATTGCGTGATTTCTACAAATCGTAACGAGAAAGAATATAAAAAAGTACTGAAAAAAAGCAGGAAAAGTGAGGATAATTTGTTTCAAGAAAAAGGTCAACCTTCGACAGTATACCGACCTATTGCATAACCCAATATTGATTCTTCGACTAGCAGTAGACTGTACGAGCGAAGGTACAGTATCAAGCAACACTTTGGCTCGATTACTCACCGCCTGAGTTATACATGTTCCCTTTCAAGCGCCAACGTGCTCTGCGCATGTGTAATTCACGTTCAACGTGAAGTGTTGAGAACAGCCAGCGCACTCGCTTTCCCCGTCTGGGACTCAAATCCTGGTAAATGAACGTGGAATTGCTGGGATTACGACGGGTTGGCGGCACTCATGTTTACTTCGCGCCCCATTCCTTCATTGCTCCATTGTACATATTCATTATCCCTGGCTGTGAAAACTCGTGTTAAACAAAAGCCAGAACCATAGAATACGCACGATCTTAAGTATGGTGTTCTGCTTCCGTTGTTGGAAATATCTCCAAATGTTTAAAGACTATGTGGAAGACTGAACCCTCTCTTTAAAGACGCTCAGAAACCTACGTCAACTACAGCAATGACTCTTTTTTAACGAAACCTAAGTGATCTAATATTTTATTTCTTTATATTATTTGTTGTACGGAGGGAGTGTAACAATGTCTGGGTTATAACACAAACCAAAGTATAGTGTACATTACAGGAAAGGTATGTCAATATGGTGGAAAGGTTGGCAATTATAGTCTTTGAAGAGGGTTACCCGGAAAGCCGTGATCATTTGTATTTTATAGGGAGTTTAATGTAACTAAATGAATGCTGTGAAAAATAATCAAAGCACATCGCGGTTATCATCCAGAATAGAATAATTATGTTTTAACACAATATCAGGACATTTTGGTAAGAATTGTACTCACTTAATTTGTATTTCATATGATACATATTACTTGTATTATACACGATACACATTACATACGGCACACATTACATATGGTACTCATTACATATTACTGATGATACATATCACATATTGTACATATTACATATTGTACGTATCACTTATGGTACGTATCACTTATGGTACGCATCACTTACGGTACGTATCACTTATGGTACGTATCACTTATGGTACGTATCACTTATGGTACGTATCACTTATGGTACGTATTACATATGATACATATCACATATGGTACATATCACATTTACATTTATTACATGTGTATTCCTCGTTTCACATAACCCCTCAGGCACAAAGAGCACTAGGAAGCGGCTGCAAGCGACGTGTTCCGCCCGCGCGCGGAGCGGATTCCGTGGGCCGCCGCCGCCGCGGCCGCGCGCGCCGCGACGAGGAGGCTCTGGCGGAAGTGCGGGCGCCGTGAGCGCGCAGCTGCCGGCGGCGGAGGCGGAGGCGCCGAGGCGTGAAAGTGGCCGCGCCGCGCCGCGCCGGCCCTGACCGAGTGCGTGGCAGCGGGGGCGGCGGCCTACTGCAGCCGGCGCGGCGCAGGAATGCCGCCCCGCACCTCCCCGCGCTGCCCCTGCGCTGCCCTGCCTCCTTTCACACATCTTTACTCCGACCCCTCTCACGTTTGCCGCCCCTCTCATCCTGGTTGTCCCTCTCACCCTTGCCGCCCCTCTCATCCTGGTTGCCCCTCTCACCCTTGCCGCCCCTCTCATCTTGGTTGCCCCTCTCACCCTTGCCGCCCCTCTCACCCTTGCCGCCCCTCTCACCCTGGTCGCCCCTCTCACCCTGGTCGCCTCTCTCACCCTGGTCGCCCCTCTCACCCCTTGTAGCCCCTCGCACCCCTTGTAGCCCCTCGCACCCCTTGTAGCCCCTCGCACCCCTTGTAGCCCCTCTCTCTCTTACCACACAATTATCCTTTTTGTCCCTCTCAATCTTCTTCTCTTCACTGCTTCTCCTCTCAAATTTGACGCCCCTCCCACCCTTTTCTCCTCTTTCGCTTTCTCCTTTTCCTTGCCTCCCTTCTCTATGGCCGTGCCTCTGTTCTGTTACCTACCTTCGTTGCCTCTTTTCTCCCTTGTTCGTCTCTGCTTGCCACCACTTTCTCACTTGCCATCCTTCTTTCCTTTCCGCAATTCGGGCCGCCCTAGTCGCCCTCTGAGCGTAAAGTGATGTCTCTGCGGTGCCTCTGACAGGCAAGTTATAGGGTTCGTGTCTCGACGGTGGCAGAATTTTCGAGCTAGTTCGCGATGGTGAATTCAGCCACTGTCTGGTGGAGACTTCTAACGTCCGGCTGCTCTGATCGTAGTTCCTCCGATCAACGCCAGGTGAATGCCGCAGTAGTGTGGTAACAAACGGGCCACTAACCGCGCGGGACATTTCCTTCTCTCTCCCCAATCCTATCCTCTACCCTCTACACTGCATTAGGCTTCTGCACTGAGCTTAGAGCTTCTCCAGTATGAGACGATGGCCTAGTGCAGATTCTTGGTTGGGAAAACTCCGTAAGCCGACATGTCGGTCGGCACTGAATCTCTCTATCAAGCAAAGGAAGATCACCACCACCACCACTCTCCCCCTCGAGGAAAACATACACTACACTTACGGTACTATTATCTTATCAGTTGATCACCCGAAATCACTAGTCAGACAAACAATAAGTCAGTCTGCTATTTCTTTGGTATTGATCGCTCCCCATCGCCGCGCGTCTCTCGCGCCCCCGCCATCTGCTTGGTCACATCCTCCCCCCCTTCGCCTCACCACTTCGCCTCACCACTTCCAAGCAACACACTATCCCGTCTCTTTTTCCATTTCCACTCGACGACTTTCGGTACGTCGTAAAATTATATTCATTAAGCCGTTTACTTTTACTCAAATACGTATTAACAATATATTCTGTAATTACAAGAACAAAAATACTGAACTTTAGTGATTATTGTGAAACGTGGAACTCAGTCTGGGGATTTTTAGTCTTGATCTGAAGGTATAGCAGAGGTGTAAGTGCATATTAAAGACGAAAAGTTATGCCAATAAGTGTTTCATCAAAACATGAGAGTAAAATAGTCTGCCAAAAATGAACCACGTACAGTCAAATATGAAATAAAATTCTAGAAATATTACATTCTCTAGTAACGATGTCCTCAATCTGGCCTGCATGTAATAATAATCTAGAACAGTCTTTTGAATTGTCTTCTATCCTCGCCATCATTATACCTCAAATGTTGTACCTATATCATGTATTGGTCCGTTAATGATAATTAAATACTAGTAGTATGCAGTATGTAGTAACTTTGGGAATGAAGGAGCTTCCGAGTGAGATGTGGAGAAATGTTGGAGTCGGTGCGTGGGGCGGGGAGCGGTCAGCCGTGGCTCCGGGCGAAAGGGCGGCGGCGCCAGGCGTCGCGGCGCCGGCGTCGTTCCTCGGCGCCGCCGCTGATGTAGGCCGCACCTGCCCGCCCTAACGGCACCGCGCGCCTCCGCTGGCGGCGGCCCATGCCGACGCCCTCCGCCTCCCGGGGACCTCGCTCCGGTCAGACAATGCACTGGAGAACTACCTCGTGGAGATGAAAATACGATTGGGCGATTGTTGATATTATTATTCGTCGTCTATGACTAAATTCTATAAGGTATTAACATGTTTATTTGGAAGTGAAAATTGGACAATGACCAAAAAAGATAGCACAAGACTATGAGATTTCTGAGATCAGTGGGTGGTTATAAGCTGATGGACAAGAAAAAGAACTTATAAATTCGTAAAAAATTTGGGGCACTTAATCTTCAAGAGAAAATCAATTACTAATCTTCAAGAGAAAATCAATTACTACCGAAATTCTTGGACCCAGCACATTGAAAGGATGTAAAACAACCACCTGCCGAAAATAATTCTACAATACCGCGCACAAAGACGAAGAAATCCTGGCCGCCGGAAGAAGAAATGGGGTGAGCAGATGGGAACCGAGGCGTAACAGGCAGTGCGTATATACCTGAAGGAGAAGAAGGAGAAATAGAAGAGGATTATTTGCCGTGCACGGTTCACTGATACTGAGGCAGTAGTTCTACAGTCATCTATCAAAGTACAAGTACCAAATTACATACCATACGTATTCACTAAAATACATCTTATACATTGATTCCATATCAATAAACAAAATAGTACCTATCATAGAGACGTCAAACAAATCCCTGTTTATTATACGGTAAAGAAACAAATTTACATTGTTATTGACCCTAAAAACTTCCATTACTTCCCAGAAATTTCTTGATCAATGAGCATGTACTGAGTAAAGATAATTCTGGAGACTGATGACAGTACTCTCTAATTTTCAGTGTTTGTAGCGGACTTCGAGTGACTTAGATCTTTGGAATGGCGCCCGTTGGCGAAACAATGACAGGGATTGTCTTGTCTCGAGCATGGTCTATTATTTCTTCATCCTTCGGGTCAATTCTTCATACTTCTGGATCTTGGCCTCATAGGCAGTCCTAAGTTTGCGAGTATCGACGACTGCCATATCATCAAATCATACTTTTTGTTTTTGTATTATTATTATTATTATTATTATTATTATTATTATTATTATTATTATTATTATTATTATTAACTTCCTGTATTCACGATTAAAGGTGCTAGGTGTCAATAAAATATCAAACCTATTCCAGGTAGCAACCACCTTCCTGAGCAGTAGATTCAGTGAGTATGGGTGACTCTACAACACTTAGCACAAAATATGCGCTGATTCTAATAACTCAATGACTTGTCCATTCCAGTCGTTTCAATGATCTAGGAGTTTAGACAAATTGTTACGGTCATATTGCAGGACAAATTCTGGAGATTCGAAAACTATCCAGAAGGCCTGCGTTTCGACATCCAAACTCGCCTATTTCACACGTCACTTTGACTCCGGACGACACGACATTCTGATCGCAGAAGCGATTTATTCTTCCAGGCTCGAATAGCCATACTCCGTATGTTTTCTGCTATCACGTGGTCAGCGTGGCTTCATTGATCCTACGGTACGAGCACAGTTCAACACAAGTCATGAGTTTTGGTACGTGTGTGTATCTCTTGGGATCATCTTCTGAGGCATTATAGATCTACCAGTAGACGTAAATACAGGACCATGTTATGTGCGCTATGTCGTAAATGTATGGCAGAGAAAACTGCAAACACTAAGGAAAACCGATTCTGGCAACGGTCGAAAGCGCCTTTGGGTTCTGAATGTCGTGTAGGGAGGTTTCCTTAGTTATTCCGTCTGCGCCCCGCCCCACCAGGCCGCGCCACGCCGTGCTGCTTCGCCCAGTAGCGCATTGGTGCACGCCCTGTGGAACGCCGAATGCCTGTCCTCGTTACTGACCGCTCGTTAGCTCCGGCCAGCGACAAGAGACACGACTTCGTCTACACACATACTTCGTGCTCGCATTCCGTTGGAGACCGTCCAGACCAGAAGAGCCCGAGATTCCTCCGGGCCGTTTCGGAAATAATCCATAAAATTCCTCGAGCGTCGTACAACGGTAAAAAAGGCGTGGATGTTGCCTGTTAGATAATCATATTAACACGTGATGAACAAACTAGTTTTGTTCCTTCACAGTTAGTATTAAAGTTATTGGCCATACGATCCGTTAGAAGCAGTTGAGCAGTAACACTGTAGGGCTGGGTATTACCCACGCTATTTACTGCAGCACCAGCCGAAATTAATTGTATTGTTGTCGTACAAGATGGAAACTAAGAGAAGATACTTACTTATAGCAGGTTTTGTTTGCTTTCTACCCGTTATAACGAGCGGACGTTTTGTCACGGGGAAGTAGACGAAATTTATGGTTGTGGGCAAAGTGGTCTCGAAAGCAAAGAGCTGAGAAAGCAGTGCAATACATAGGTGCCCCGCGGGTTGTCTACAATGAAGTCACCAAGGGATTCAGACTCTGCAGACCCAGATCCGCGTGCCAGGCTTCAATGCTGATTGTATTGCTCCAGAAAAAACAACATTTTTACACTATAAAAATCTAAATCGCTATTATTAACTACTCATATATAAATAAATTCAGTAAATTAATTATCGTGACTCTTACCTTTGATTATGATCCATTTTTATCGTCTAACACACAATGTATATAACACACCATCTTAACATACAGGTATTGTTTTTCTTCTTTTAACTGTACAGATTTTTAAGGTAATGAATGCAATAACGTCTATAGTTTTTGTAGCTTTTTGACAGATTTTAAGATATTGGTGTATTTACCTTTTAATGACGGATACTTCCCAATCATATCATTAATTATCAGTCTTTTAAAATCTTTCTGATTTGAAAATGCGAGTAAACATTTTACATAATCTATTTCGTAGATAAAATCAAATCTTTATGAATTCCATACAATTTAGACACTTAAAGACTGCACACTCATATGTAAATATCTATCTCGAATTTA